GGGGAATTAGAGAGGATGGGGCTGCTCTCTGCCCCCCAAATTATCCACCCTTCATTGCATTACCAGCGCTAAGCCCTATTGCCGAAGAGGCAGAACAACAAAATGAAAGAGCAGAACGCCGCAGTGAACACAGTGAGCAGAGCAGTGGGCAGCATCCCCAGCAGCAGCACCGTGTGTCCAACAGCCCCAAATCCCAGCACAGAAAGACGGCGCTTCTGGAAGGAGGGAGCGGAAAGGAGGAAAGTCTTTGCTGAGATCCCCAAAGCATTAATCCCAGATTCGAGCTATGAAGTAGAGCGCTGAGATGGAAAAGAGCCCAGCCTTTTGCCAGGATGCTGATGTTCATGAAAAGAATAAATATCTGGAAGGAGGCTGCCTGTTATTACTGGAATAACACAATCACAAAGGAGCACACCACAAACAATTACACTGGAACTAAGAGGGATGGACGCCGGCTCTGTACACAATTAGGCACAGCTATGAGTCAGGGAAACGAGCGTTTTCTAGAAACACTGCTCTTCTTAGCACAGAAACCGCCTCCTGGATGGCAGGATAAAGTTAAGAGAGAAAAAAAGAAAAAAGGGAGTAAGAATCTGCAGTATCATAACAGAAATCACAGATCAATGTGTTTGCCCTAGGAAATGAACAGATACACATCAGGACTTGGCAGCCGAAGGAGTCTCCCAAATGAAGCAGAAACAGCTCAAAAGGAAAGGAACAAAACAGAAAGAGAAGGAGGGAGGGAGGGAGGGAGGGAGGGAGAGGGAAGACGGCGCGGGCTCCGGAGCAGACACCATCAATCTGCACGGAGCGGAGCAGCCGTACCTGCCTCCTGCCGGCCGGGCCGTGCGCCGGGAGGGGGACATCAGGCCTGAGAAAATACAGATGATTGGCTTCCAAGTGCCTTTCCTTGCCAAAATTTACAGGCCTGCAGTTCTTGGTTAATAGATGGTGCTCCCCTTAGAGCTTCTAATGGAAGAGGCTGAAATGAAAACCACCCGCTCCCCACGGGAGGGGGGGGTCCAATCGCACAGCCGGAGCGAATGTGTTCTGCATCATCTCTGCCGGGATGGAGCCCGGACACCTCATCACACGGCCTGAGATAACGAGCTATGTGGAAGTGGGAATGCAGATTTTTAAATTAAAAAAGAAAGAGAAACCGCCCAGCACAAAGGGATTGTCACTGGGAGAGCATAAAGGAAACTTTACCACGGGATGCCACAGGCACGGGCCAGCCACTCACAGACAGCACACCGCAGGCTGCCCACCCGGAGCTGCCACCTGGGCATGCACCACGGCCACCCCAGTGCTGCAGAACCGCCAGCAGAGCCCATTCCCAGGGGCCAACAGGGAGTAATCGGTGCGACGATGCAACAGCCATTAAGAACAACAGGCAGCAAACTCCTCCATCGATATTCTGGATGCACGACCTAACCCTGGCTATAAATCACCCTTGATCGCGTGCAGAATGCAATCCTGACGGCGTTGGCGAGGTGTCGTGCAGCTCCACAGGCAGCACTCAATGCAGAGTCGAATTAGCAGGTGACATGTTGACAGCCTGACCATGCGTACCCCCTGCTGCCACCCCGCAGCCCTCAGTCCTGCACTGAGCACACGGAGCAATGGAGCAGCTCCGTGCTTGGCTCTCAGGGACGAGGTGGCCATAAAAATGATTTTTCTGCTAAGCCAAAGGCAGGTGAGGGAGCTCCCATTCAAACAGGGTTATCAGCACAGTGCCTGCAGGGAGCATGCGGAGAGAGGAGCGCGCAGCCCACCGTACAGCGCGGTGCGTGCATATTTAATGCATTTGCTTGGCAGATGGAATAACTTTGTTAACAGACTATTTAAATTCCTGAGGGGGTACCTGTAACTATTAGAAATTGATTTTATGAGCCTGTTATACAAACATCACTCTTCAAGGTCTAAAGCATATTGAAATTCTTCCTGTTCTCTCTCAAACAGATGGCGCTAAGAATTTTTCTGAACCGACTCGTATTCATAAATACTGCCCTCCAATCCCTCTTGCAAGACAGAACCAACCCTAATTAGAACGGTGAGCCCTCACCATCTTTTCCTCATCATGCATTTCCCATAAAACTGCTCCAGAAGAGGAAGGTTTTGGCCAACCCCTCCCCCAGCAAGCAACAAGGAGTGTTCCCAAACGTCTGTCACAATCAGAATAAACAGAAACTCCATTGGATTATAGGGCTCAGGGGCTGATTTCCAAGAAAAGGCCAAAGTGCTCAGAATCAAGCAATTGGCATGGGGTCCTTGGGCACCTCCAGGGACCGGGAGCACGGCTGGGTGCTGTCAATGGCCCAGGGCCAACCATGGATTCCTTTCTTCAAGCAGACGCATTTATGGAATGATTGAATGAGTTTGGTTCTGGGTGGAAGTGGAGGTGGTTGAGGCCTTCCACTGAGGGCAGAGAAGCAATGCACAGTGCTACGAGGTGCCCAGCTTTGTGCTGCAGTTCACAGAACCACAGAACCATTAAGTCAGAAGGAACACTTACAGGCCATCTGATCCAACTCCTTGCACTGAACAGGGACACCTACAGCTCCATCAGGTGCTGAGAGCCCCATACAAACTAACCTTGAGTGTCTCCAGGGGTGGGGCATCCACCATATCTCTGGGCACTGAGGCTCCACAGCTCAAATACTTCACTGGATATTTTCTTTACTGTGCTGCCATTGCCATTCATGAACAACCCTGAGCTTAGCTACAGTCATAAAGAGCATTCACTGAATGGAAAAAAATCATTAAAAATTGTGGTCTCTTCCTGGACAACTCAGCAACAGCAAGTGCCAGCTACATTTGTCGAATAAATTGCTTGCAGGGAGTAGTTTTACTAGCTCTAAATGGGATGAAATTAAGCAAAGGGAAATGAATGCCAAGTGCATACACAAAAGCATTGCTGGGCGTGAGAGGTGCGAGGTGGGGAGGAGCCTTATGGGGCCACGTGGGCCCCACAACGGCTGAACCTCAATGCCTGGCACGTCTCCGTGTGCACCCCACCATTTGGGGCTGCTTAGCCTCAGCTTGGAATTCCAGCTCTCAGCAGCAGAGGGCAGGGGCTGGCCACAGAGCCAGTGAGTGGGGCCATCAGGGTGGCAGAGTGGAAGAGGTGGTGGTCTGGGGGGTGTGGTGAACAGCAGCTTGTGCCAAGAATCACCCCCCAGCACCAAACAGGTTGTATGGGGACACTTGGATTTTGGAAGCTGGGGCATCATGCACACGGAGAGGAGAGGAGCTTGCAGGAATGAGCTAGCCCTACATATTTGGGCTGCCTGAGCACATCCTGGGGATGCCCCCCCAGCTCCCACCCCAGCCCCTCTGACTGGAGCTGCTCCAGGGTTAAGCAGAGCAGCACCGGGTGCGGAGGCAGCTCTGGCACCCGGCCGAGCTTCCCAGGCTGTTCTCTCCCAGAGCTCCGGGGAAGGGAAGAAGAGAAGAGGGTCTCATTAAAACAGAGAAAAACCAAAAACCCTCAGATGATTCGCTCGTTCCATCTGCTCTCCTATTTGGTCAGCTCATGCAGCATGAGCTATCACAGGCTGAGGGCTGCTCCCTGCTAAGTGTATGCTGTAAGGACGTTTTATAGGCTCCATCCTCCGCGGAGACACCCAGCAGGGCATGGGAAACAACCAGGGACAGGAGATTTCCAGATCCCTTTCTAAAGGGCCAGCAGAAGCCTTGAGGCTTCCCAGTGTGCTCCAGCCCCATTAGCACCCCCAGGGCTTCTCCGTGTGTTGCCCCTCGGATGGAAGGCATCTCTGCAGCTCCCAAGAAGAAACCCAGCGAGCAGAGCAGCCCGCTGTGCCCCCAGGGCGATGGCGCATAGCAAATTGCTGCAGACAGGAGGCTGTAATGCAATCCAGCAGCAGCAAGGAATTCAGCATCATCCCCGGCTGAGCGCACACTGCGCTGTGCCATAAAGCGGGGAGGTGACAACCCTTGTGCAGAGCAGAGGGGAAGCAGATCCCAGCAATTCCCTGTGGGAAGGAAGGTGCTCCCCGCCTGCTGTCCCAGCTGGTAGCCATGACCCAAAGTGTCGTGGGAAGCAACAGAGGGGCTGGGAAAGAGGAGAGGCCATGGCGCACTGGGCTCACTTGAGGCACGTTGAGCAAACACAGGCTCTGGCCGCTGTGGGGTAGCTCGTGGGGTTGAGCTGCATGGAGAACCCACAAGGGCCCACCAGCAAAGAGAAAAACAGGACAGCAGCAGAAGTTGGAAGAGCTTCATAGGCACCACTTAGCAAAGCACTTTGGTGGGTTCCCATCCAAGAAACACCTCCCTTTCCAAAATAACCTATCACAGAACATCTCAAGGGAACCATGCAGATCACTGAGCCCAATTCCTGGCTCCACAAAGGACCACCCAAAATAATCAGACCATACGTCTCAGAGAATTGTCCACATGCTTCCTGAGCTTTGGCAAGGTCAGCACCACGACCATGTCAGCACCCAGCTCACCACCACCAAAAGTGGGCAAAACGCTCTCACCCAAAATGACAGCACCCCAGGCCATCACCACACACCTCGAGCACAAAACCAGGTGAAAGGACAGCTCTGCATCCAAAACCAACCCAGGGCTGGTGGCAGAGGACGCACCATGCAGGATAACACCAGGTGAGGAAGAGCATCCAGGCGCTCCTAAGTCAGCCCCGTGGCTGAGAAAGGTGAGTACCGAGCGCTTCCATCACACTGGCACAGCGATTATAACACCAGCCAAATGGTTACAGAGGCTGGAGGGCTTCATTTAAATAAATAATAATAATTTAGCTTCCAAATTGCTCCCACATTGAGGTGCTCCAGGCTTTGCGCAGCACAGCAAAAGCCATCTCAAAAAGAAACAACAACAAAAAGCACAGTAAAATGTTATCAGAAAAACACTACTCATTAAAATTAACAATTAAAACAAATTAGAAAGGCTCTACTGACACAGAGGGGGAGGAAGAGCATCCAAACAAGGAGAAACGCCGGGTAATTTTTAGTTACTGATAAGTAAAATAATGGTCTCATTTAGTACTGATTACCTAGAATTATTTAATTTTATTTCAAATTATTCAATTTTTGGTTGAGGTTAACTAGTAATTTTTAATTACCGTTACATAATGCAATGACGAATGGCTCTTATTTCCCCCTGCCCGCGCAGAGGAGTGGAGGAAATCAATAGGCATTCCTGGCAAATTATCCGGCGACTGGATGAAATGATAGCAGCCTTCCCCATTAGCGGGAAGCGCCGAGCCGTGGCCGGGTGCGAGCTGTGGGGCACGGCGCTGGGAAGGAGGAGGATGCCGTCGGAGCTGCAGGGCAGGCTGGGCGCCCGCAGCACCAGCTCCACGAGGGGGATTTTGGGGTAGCTTTGAGGAGCGTCGGGTTGGGAGCAGGCGGAGCCGCGTTTAGGGAAGCGGTGCTCTGCCTGTTTTTAGTGAAGAGCCGCTCTGCCACAGCTCTGTGGCTGTGTCATTGATTTTTCTTACTAATGGAAACAACCGGCAGGACTGAAAATATTTGCAAACTGCTCAGGTCAAAAGAGGGAACGGCAACAACAATAGCACGGGGGGGAGGGCAGTGCAGAGCCACACCGTGCCGCTTCCCCCCGACTCTCAGGGATGCTTTCTTTCCCCTGGGTACGCTGGCGACCCTGTTTGCCTGCTTGTTATCTTCAAGCAGCTGCACTCCCTGGGCATTCACCTCAAGTGGAACTGCCTCAATTTGTTAAGGACTGAGGATGGGAAGCGTCAGAGGAAGGGGCAGTGGGACAAGCGTCCCCGGCTCCATCCCGAATCTGTGCACAGCTCTGAATGGCCACAATCCACCTCCCCACCTGCGGGAGAGCTGCCGTGGCTCCACCACTGCATGGGAAGGCAGGATCGGAGCTCAAAGCGGCCCTGATAAAGCAGAGATGGAGCCAGGAAAAACGGGAGGGCGTTCAACAGAGTGTGCACGAGGTTCAAGCCAGTGAACGCTGGGGGTGATGGGGAAATGCCTAAACAAACGCAGGGAGAGCTGGCAAGGCAGCTGTCTGCAGACCAGGGCTGGGGGCTGTAACGGAGGCAGGAGCACTGCACTGCAGCAGGAAAAAAAAAAAAACAGAATGATTAAAAAAGGAGCATTGTTCTGAGCTACAAAAACAGCATCTCGCCTCCAGCACCCCCCCCAGCGCCGGTCTCAGCGGGGAACAAGCCCTGATTTGGTCACCGCCACGTAGAGGAGGTGGGAAATAAACAGCGAGAGCATGGCCAAGGGTGGGGAGAGGTGCCAGGGTTCTGGCAAATCCCCATCCATCTGCAGAGGCCATCCAGCCCACGGAGGGGGGGCTGCTGCAGGAGGAACTGCACTGAGCAAAATCGCAGTTCTGCTGCGAAGAGCCCTGAAGCTCCCAACCCAGAGGGGGGAGGAGGTACAGCAGAGCCCCACCAGGAGCAGTTGGGGCCGGGCTGAAGCCATCACATCTTTTTGTGTGGAGCTGGAAGGGGATGGGGAGCACCTCCCCCCCCAAAATACACACACTATGCTCATGTCAGCTCCAGCCGTCACCTCCAGCCCGTCACATCCAGAACATGGCCATGGGGCAGAGCCACAGAGCTGGAGTGCTGTTAGCGGCTGCTCCTTTCTATTTAAATGAAAGGAATAACTGTGAAGCATGATAAAAATCTCTATCTCTCCCCTCTGGCTTGCAGATAGGAGCCCCACAACTGTTCCTATTGGAAATTCAATTCCAATCAGCGTGTTGGCAGGAAAGGATTAGGGCTGGTGCCAAAACACATTCATTCCAGCCAGCGCTTCCCGGAGCCTCCCCAGGGCCACCCCAGTGCCCACCAAGGGCCGGTTGCAGGACACTGGCTCCTCCCACGTCCCCAGTTTGTCCTGTGGGGGTATGGGTCACCCACTGAGGTGTCACCACACACCTCTCCATGCTCATCGTGGGCACAGGGTGCGCGTTGCTGGGAGCCCTGACGCAGCAAAGCACATCCCGTGGGGTTTGGTTGCCTTGCTCCATGTGGGATGCTGGAGATGGAGCCAGGAGCGGAGAACTTTGAGCCATCAGAATTTTTAGGAGATAAAGCTGGATAAAAAGGAGGAAGGTAGAGGCATTACCCACAGCATCTTATCTGATCTGGCACCCAGGCCTACTATTGCCTCCACTTCCCTGTCTCGAGGAGGTTTTTAAACGCGTGCAGCTACAAATCACCCCTTCCAGTTGAAGTGTCAGATTAAATCAAGACAAACGCTCCCCTGTTCCACACCCCCCCTCTGCTGGGCCCGTTCCCAAACCCCCACCTCTCCCTGCCTGGCACCACCCCAAGCTTTGCCCTGGGAGACCGCTTCAGCCCCAGTGCCGCCAGCAAGGAAGTTTTCGCAACAGGCAGATCGCCGTCAGGCTGCCCCGGTCCCCCCTTTAAGCTCATTACCGGAGAGCTGGAACTCATCCTGGCACCCAGAGGGCCCCACATCCTGCAGGGGCGGGCACCTCCTGTCCCCACTTCAGGGCTGAAGCTGAATCCAAAGACAGAAAACTGGTGAGAAATTCACTTTTACGCAACCATGAGAGGGATGCATGGGACCCGCTGCCCTAAGATACAGCAGGGCAGAGATTTCTGTGAGATTTATGAAGAAGAACCGACATTTCTGCAGCTAATAAAAGTTCCTGCAGCTCGGGTGAGTCAAGGCAGGTAAAGAGAAGGTGCCTGGAGGGGAGGTGAGGCCATGTGCTCTGGAGCATGAGCTAATGACTAATAGCAGAAGACAAAGAAGAAAGCACTCCTGGGAGGCTGGGTTTTTCCTGCGTACCAGGTGTTTGCTCGTACCTTCTCTGAAGGCCCTGGCACATGTTACTGCACGACAGGCTCTGCGATGAGCCACATCCCAGCCTCGCCTCGGGACATCAACTCCCCCCCCTCCTAAATTTCCACGTGTTGTTTTGGTTTTAAACGAGAGCCAGATCTCCTAAAGCCTTTATCATTAATCCTGCTGACACACAGCCTGACCACAGGCACTGGGAAGCACCGCGTGGGGCTGGCGGGGCCCCAGGAGCTGGGGGTCCTCACGGGTGAAGGCACTGAGGACACCAGGTTAACATGGACCCACATGCCAGGTGGGGGGAGGGCCAGGCCAGAGCAATGCTGTGGGCACAGCCCTTTCCAAGCATCCATCCCTACGCCCAAGCACACACAGAGCCCTGACCCCATCCTCCTGCTGCTTACCAGCACTTGTGGTGCGCCTGCCACTGACATCCATCACCTTCAGCCTCCCCAGGAGATCTGCAGGGAAGGAACACTCGTTCTCGAGTTGAATGTTTATTGACAGGGCTGCAGTGCACAGCTGGAAGCTAAGCATCCAAAACTGGAAGTCTCTGCTCAAGAATCTCCACGCAGTCAGCTGAGCAGCACTGAGACTGAAAGCTGCTAGCACAAAAAGCTCAGACCCCATATTGCTCCTCCATTTCACACTGCCACTGGGGAAAGCCAACCTGCCCAGCCCTGAGCCTTAAAAAGGCACAGCTGGGGCTGAGTGGGGAGACACAGATGTGGGCTGCAGGGCCCATCACATGGGGCTGCCTGTTAGAAAGTGAGTTTTGCACTGAGTGGGAGCAGTTTGCTCCATCCTGATACAGCAAAAAGCTCCACCTGTGGGAGCACTTTGGAGGTTCGTTATGAAGATGCTCTCCTCTCCTTGCTCATTTAAAAAAATAAACCAATCAGCAAAGGAATCCCATGGAGTTTTGCTTTCCAGACCCAATTTGGGACCCCTGGGCACCTCCCTGTGTCCTCTGTGGGCAGCCCCTGCTGCAACTCGCAGAGCACGGGTGAGGGAAGTGACCCAGGCAGCAACCTCAGGGAGCGAGGGAAGGGGTCCAGGGAGGACTTTCCGCAGCACAATCCAAGAATTAAAAAAGACTTTATATATTAAGGCTAGAACACTTGAGTGAAATATTAAAGCCCACTGACTGAAGAGGCAGCGGATGTTACACTGGGAAGTTTGCCCTTCCACGATGCTAGGCTCAGAAGGGCCGTGGGAGCACCCCGGTGTTCCCGGTGTGCTGGTGGAATGTTGGTGATGTTGACGTGACCCGTCCCCTCCCACTGCTTCCTTTCTGCAAGTGACCCTGAGGGAAGTCGGAGGAATTAGGGATTAACAGAGAAAAATACGTTGCCTAATTAAAAAGCGATATAATCAGGTGTGAGCCCAGGAACTGATGGGTTTTAAATCCTTGCATTGAGCTGCTGGCTGAGGGAAGCAGTTCCTGCTGGGAACCCAACCCCACGGTGCTCCTTGACTGCAGTTCTCTCACCTCCCAGCAGAGCTCCCAGCCCCCAGACTGGCCGTCTTCATTGGGATGAACTGGAAAACCCCAGCCCCCGTCCCCTGTGCTGCAGTGAGGTTTGTGCCACGGGGCCCTGCTCACGCTGCAGTGACATCTCCCGTGGTTTCCAAGTTACCACCATCTGAAATTGTGTTTAGATGAGAATAGCGGCTTTCATTAATGTGTAACATGTCCCCCGTGTGCCTAGAAAGCTCAGAAAGCGGCAGAAAAATTAAAAGTCATAATGTATTTTTTATTCTTATTGATTTTTAAGCCTATCTCATTTTAGGGACCTGGCTCGTAATTTCTGAGCGCTTGTGGGATGGCGTAAAGTTCCCGAGGCCTCATGATAGGATTTTACAAAGGCTTTTCCGCGTGTTTTATTTTTTAGTAACCTTGATAGCTAAACCCAGCCTCGTGGAGAAACGATTTTAATATTCAGGCCGACAAAAATAATTACTTCCCAGCGTCGTGGGGCAAACCATCCGCACCGGGCTGCGCAGAGCTCCCCATCGCAGGGGCAGTGGGGCAGCTCTCAGCTCAGCTCTCTGCCCAACCCCGGGGCTTTTCCTTTTCCCAGTGCCCCGTCCCCTGTGGAGCATCCCCAGGTGAGGAGGCCCCAGGATGCCGGGCACCTCCAGCAGCGGTGCTGTCTCGGCCATCTGCGTGGGCTCCACGTGCGGCCGTGCTTTAATCAGGGCTTCGGGATCCTTCCTGTGGCCGCCCGGGGCAGGGGATATTTTAACTCTAAACACATTAGCGTGCGAGATTGAAAGGTAACGCGTCCTCCCCGGGCTGCTGAACAATGGAAAGGAACCTGGCTTTCATTTGCACAAAGCACGCAGTGGGAATTTCCCTAATCAAATAAAAAGAAAATGAAAAACTCTCTCTCTCCCTCTCTCCGAAAGTTTAATTCTCTTAATTACATTAATTGGAGAAATGCAGGATCCTCCTTTGTGCGTGGTTCTCTGTGGAGGAGAGGAGGCTGCGGGAAGGGGCTTTTTTGGGGCCACCCCACAGCTACCAGTGGCAGTGCAGAGGCCGGATGGAGTCTGGCAGTGAGGTGCAGCAGTGATGCCCCGTGCTCATCTTTGGAGCCAAAGCACTGCACCTGGGGCTGAACCCATGCCTGGACAATGTGACTGGATGTTCCTACCCCACCGTCTGCATCAGGTTCCTATCAGGTGTCAGAAGGGAGAAGCAAGAGAAATTCGGGGGTACTTCATGACTGGGGGTGGCACAAAATTTGGTAAAAGGGATTTGGAAGTCGTACCTACACTGAACTGAATCTCAATAGCATCCAGCTCATCCTACTGCTCCACTTTGGCTAAGAAAACAACTAATAAAGGAGAAATGCTGATTGCTCTGCACTTGGGAAAGTTGCCTTGCTTGGGAGATTGCAGTCCGTGCTCTGGACAAGATCGCTGGGCAACCAAAGTGTCAGCGCTGGGGAAGCAGAGCAACTCCATCCCCATTCTCATTGTCACCCCCAACCCCATCCCCATCTCCATCCCCACCCGCTGCCCTGCCAGCTCTGTGGCGCTCAGCCAGGAGCCCTCTCCCCAGCCAGGAAAGGTGATGCTCTCTCTGTATTTAATATGTAATGGGAAAAATCTGTGTTCGATGTGTACTCTCTGAAAAAAAAAGGAAAAACATAGAAGAAAATGGACACAGCCAGACCATTTGGCTGAATGCTTTCATTTGGTTAAAAAAAAAAAAAAAGAAAAGAGTCACCTTTGCAGGGAGCTCACATCTGGAAAATTCCAGCCCTAATGACATAAGTTACGAAGAATTGAAAATTGGGATCAGAGAGGAACTGAGCACAGAACCCCAGTATCCTGCGCAGCATTTGGGTGGAGGTCACAGCTGGGGCTCCTACGGCTTGGGGGCTCTGAATGATGGGTCAAGGGGGCAGGAGAGGGCCAGGGCTTCTTCAAGGCGTCCCCTGCTTTGGGAACAGTTGCTAAAAGGAGTCGCGGATTGCATGCAGCATCCTTCACCCCAAGCACCTCCTTTTCTGCTGTCCTGGTTCAGGTAGGGCTGAAGACATGGCTCAGCCTGGGGCTGCATGCAGAGCCGAGCGCACGGATCTCTCTTTGTTTCACTCTGGTTGTGCTCAGCTGGGGCAGCTTTGTGCCAGAAGCCTCCTAAGTGAGTTTACTCCTGGCTTGCAGCAGGCCGGCTGGTGCCAAGAAACGCACAGGTGCAAATTAAATCAATATACCTGGCTCTTGGTGGCGGGGAGGGTCTCGGTGGAAGGGTTTGCACTGCACTCACTGGGTCCGCTTTCATCTAGCTGGGGCCATGCAGCTTCCGCTCCTCCACCAGCACAGCTGTGGCTGCCCCTAATTAGGGCTGGTGGGACTCAGGGCAACGTGGGGTGCTCAGCTCTTGGATGGGGTTTTGGGCTTAGGGTGCCCCAACCTGCCTAGGGGAGATGCCAAGCAGGAACCAGAGCACAGACAGGAAGAAAGGAGCCCAGCCTCATCTCTCTCTGATTTGTTTTGTTGCTCTGCACTGTTTACGGGTGCCCAGGCATAGACCTGGTGGCATCAGGATGTGCCCAAAGCATCCCAGTGTCATCTCGGAGCAGACAGAGAAGAGGGCAGCACCAGAAATCCACCCCCACCCCTCCCCACTGGGATGGAAAGCAGGGAGGGATCAGCGGTGTTATTTTACTTAATTTACGACTAAATGCCCCCAGAAGAGTTTAGCCCTTATTACAGAGCTGTAATGGCCTATTAAGGGAGCAGCGTTCCCTGGAAAGCAGCCCGGTGTCAGTGACTCCTTATGGAGATAAGAGCCCAATAGTCACACGCTGAGCAGTTGGGGCAAGGATGCAGGGATGCTGCCTGCCCACCCCCAAGTGCTCCCAGAGATGGAAGCTCTGTGATGGGGGAGGAATCCCCCACACTCATAAATCCCCAGATCCTCACTGCACACTTCGTAATGGCAGCAAATGGGAAGTGCTGTCAGAAAATCCTCATTTTCTTTTGTGGCAAGTCACATCCAGAACGTGAAGAGAGGAACGACAACAGTAATATTGCTCAATTGCTGCTTAAAAATCCCATTCTGGGTATGGTTGCAGGCTCTTGCACTGCTTGGTCCTTGGAGCAGGGCAGTGCCCTGGAGCCCGGCTGCCTCCCACCGCTGAGATCAATTAATTAATTTCGTATGGTGCTTTCAGAAGAGGGATCCCCCTCCCACCCTCAGCGCATCATTCCTGAGTGCGATCGGCCCTTGGCTCCTGAGTTTGTTATTGAACAGGGAACGTTTTCTCAGCAAAAAGTAAGGCTGAGCGATAAGGGCTGTGCAGGAACTGATAGAGACTTTGCAGATCGAATATGATGTTGTTTATTTGACTATGATGTATATTTAAAGGTCTCAGTTACAACTGGCCCCGGGCAATCTCTAATGAGCTGCAGCTGCCTGGACTCTCATTAGCTTTAATGACATCTTCTCAGTACATTTTTCTTGGGGTAAGACCTTGTCCTTTCTATGGTTGCACACACACTAAAACCAAGAGACATCTCACCCTAAAAGGGCAGCCAACTCAAAACAGTGGAGCAATGATAAATGATGCAAGTGCCCAGAAGAGACAAACCTTTCCTGGAAGAGTCATTGTTTATTTAAGGCAAACGAAATGTAATTTACTTTGGCACGCCTTCGAATTAGTCTGGGAGGTATTTGCGTGGAGGCTCAAGAAATAGGTAACAAAGTCGCCGTGTGTGTTAGGCAAAGATCAATTTGCAATTTCCCTGATTTTCTGCCATTCGTCTCATTCAATGGGCAATCACCCGTGCTCTGCTGGCCTCCGGGCACAGAGGGCACAGGGGGATCTCCGTGGGGAGAGCCAGGATCAGAATGGAGCCCGGAGGCAGGAGCGGCAGCGCGCCCTTGGGGCCGTGCCCCACCGTGCCCAGCGCCCGCCGGGGCCGTGAGGGGCGGATATCCTCTGGTGACGGCCCCTCCTGAAGCAGAGCCCTTATCCTGCCTCCATCTCTACTCTGAGCATCAGGGGAGCAGTCATTAATCATCCGCCCCGTCCCTCCATGGGTGCACAATGGACTTCTTTATCCCGCGCTTCAGCAGCGCTGACATGTACAATAACAATCAGCCCTGACGTATCTGTACTG